CAAATGGCAACGAGCGATCATTTTGGGAAAAACAGAGTCACAAGACACCTATGTGGTTTTCACTGGAAAGGGTGTGATGTTGTCAAGGTCAGTGCGAAGGATTGCAACAGATTGGAAGAGCCACATGGGCTTTTACGTCTATTTCAATGCCCCTACCTGGTGTTTCAAGACTGGCTTTGGCAGCAGAATCATCCCTACAAGGCGCAGTGTTGAAGCAGTGCCTGCAAGTGACCGTGCACCAATTGGCCCAGTTCTGCCATCAGCTCTTCACGACGCAGATGGTGAAGCAGTGCGAAAGAAGGCTCAGGAGGAGCTTAGGGAAGAGTCAGAGCTGAAGTCAATGGAAAAGCAAGACCATCCAGCACCTGCACCACAGCCTGTTTTGGCTTCTTCTTCAGGTGCCCCTCTCCCCGCAATTGATGCTCCAGCGGGTGAGGAGGAGTTGGACATGAGTTTTCTTGAAGATATGGTTCCTCAAGAAGATCTAGGAAATGAACAGCCTCAGACTCCTCCCATGACCACTATGGCCATACCTCCAAGTCCCAGAGCTTCTCCAACAAGCAGAGCCCACGATGAAGGTCCAGAAGAAGAAGACCATAGCAGCAAGAAAGCCAAGCTTGAATCTTCGAAGAAGCAACGAATTGAAGTTGTCAAGGAGACCTATGCGAAAATGATCAGATCTGTGAAGGTTGGTACGGATGAGTACTACACCATGGACAGGTATGACACAGACTACAGCTGGGAAAACGAAGAACTTGTTGATGATGTTTGGATGAAGACTCCTTGCAATTCAGTGGAGTACCAGAAGAACTTTGGTCAAATGCCCCAATGGATCGACAAGATGGCGGATCAGGTTGAAATTTCCAGGCTGCTTGACATGGGTGTTTTACAAAAGCGTGATGATTTTCATGAAAAGGTAACTGGAAGTCTTACAACCCGCTTTGTGTATGACTGGCGTCTCAAAATTTGTGATGTGGATGGAGTTCCAACCATGAAGTGGATGCGACGCAGCAGGTTTGTTGCGCGTGAATTCGCGAACACCAAACGCCACGACACATACAGCCCTGCAACAGGTAGCCATACAAACAACCTCATCCCAATCCTCTTTCTGCAGATGTGGTCTCAGCTGGAAGCCAGTGGGAGCAATGATGAAAACAACAGGGTGGTTCTAGCCTCCTTGGATATAAAGGACGCTTTCTTGCAGGTCCCTCAGGAGAATGTGGTTGAAGTGCAGCTTCATGGAACTTCGTACGTGGTGTTGAGAAATCTACCAGGCCAAAGACTTGGTGCTCGTGCGTGGTACTGGTTCTTTCGCAACTTTGCAACAGATGCCTTCAAGTGTTCCTGGAGTGATATCCAACCTTGCATAGGAAAGTGTGCTGAAGGAGTTTTCATGGTGCATGTTGATGACCTCCTTTTCACAGGCAATGCGAAGTACTGGAGAGAGGTTTTTCTGCCAACAATGCAAGAGAAGTTCAGCATCAGCCACAACGTGTTGGACTTGGAAGGCAGTGAAATTTCTTTCTTGAAGCGCCGTTTTGTGAGGTTGAGAGATGGTCTTTTGGTGATCCCAGGAACAACAGTTGAGAAGGTGCTTGGATGTTTCGAGAAGTACTTTTGGTGCAGCGAGGATTCAAAAGACCCCATGTGATGCTGGTATTCAACAGGAGGACATGTCAAAAGAGCTTGGACTGTACGAAAGTGGATGTTATCGCAGCATCATTGGATTGCTGCTGTACCTTGCGAGGGACAGAGTTGACATCATGTTCACAGTCAAGGAGCTGGCTACAAGCATGTCAAAGCCCACTTTGTGCAGCCTCCAACGTTTGCGCAAGTTGATGGGGTATCTACGTTTTACTGGTGATATGGGGATGAAACTTTCAATGCCAGAGTTTGGAAAAGGAAAAAGAAAGGAAGGTTGTGAGAGTGAATGGATCCTTGAAACATTCACTGACGCTGACTGGTCTTCAAACAAAGCTCACCGGAAGTCGACCAGCTGTGCAGTCCACTTTTTGAACGGATGCTTTGCTTGCGCTTCTTCAAGGACCCAAAAGGTCATCAGCCTGTCCTCAGCAGAATCAGAGCTCCATAGCATGGTTTCTGGATGTTGTGAAGGAATTTTCATCAAGCGGTGCGCTGAGTTTCTTTTTGGATCCCCAGTCCAACACTTCCAATGGACGGACAACAGTGCTGCCAGACAGTTGGTGGCTAGGCAGGGAGTTGGAAGGATCAGACACCTGTCTGGAAAGATCCTTTGGATACAGCAGTGCGTGTTGGATGGAAATGTCTCTATGGGACAGGTACCAACGTTGATGAACTTCAGTGACATCGGAACGAAATGCCTCCCAAGAGGAAGACTGAACTTCCTACATCATGAAATTGGAGCCATGGACCCTGCAACTTTGGAGCTGGTTGGTGAGGAGGAGCATGCAATGGTTGTTGAACAACAAAGAAACAGAGAAGCAGTTGGAAAACTCATCAAGTTCGTCAAGCGCATGAGCCTGGTTCTAGGGATTCAAGGCCTTGAGCCTGTTGGCGTTGAAGGAACAGAAGTTGAAACATGCAAAGCAACAAGTGAAGGAAATGATGAACTTTTGATGGTTTGGGTTTTCATGGCAGTGCTACTTGCGTTGTGGGTTGGTTTTGCAATTGCAGCGTATTGCACTTGGAAGCGGCTTCACAGGGATCTCTATTCTTGCTGGACTCAGGTTGCAGAAGAAGATGCGTACGTGACTGAACAAGGTCTTCAGATGCAATGAGATTCAGAAGAACATAGATGATTCAGCTGCAGAAGTTTCAGACAGGATCACAGAAGTTTCAAATGAGCTGAGCATGACACATGATTACACGACTGGCCTCCATTATTCAATTGCGGAGCATGGTGGTTTCCTTAGGAACGGCTTAGGCCTTTCAAGGGAGCAATGGTCCCATCTGAATGTGCTGGAACGAGCCAATTTGGTGAGCTCGAGAACAATGGGCTCAGTGGAATACATGCGTCTTGTCAGGCAACGTGTGATGCCTGTTGGAGCTGCAGATGAAACAGATGAAGCTGGAAATGGAGATGCAAACGAGTCAGCAGAGTCAGAGCATGACGAACCCATGGATGATGCAGAAGCTCAAACAGATGGTCAGCTAGGATCTGGATTTCATACAGTGGAAGGAATGCTGGAATTCTTGAAACGAGAGCACAATGAGTGTCTGGATAGGAGTGAGTTTTGGGATGCAAATTCAATTCAAAACACAATTCTTCGATTTCTGGATGATGTGCGTCTGAATGCAGCAGAAGGCATGGTTCCCAATTGCCGTGCCAAAATTTCCTCACTGTTTTCAAATTTGGCTGACCAGGCCGCAGACCAAGGACGTTGGGACAGTGCAAATCGATATACAGCAATTTCAGGAACCTATGACGACTGAATTTGTGGTTGGATGGAAAATTTCCTGAATGGTTTGGCGTGCAGCAACAATGGCTGCAAACAAGCTATTGGAAAACAAAGGGTCAGAGTGCAATCAAGCTCACACTCTGAAGGAGGAGTGGGAAACAGTTGCATGACCACTCACAGCAAGAATGACACGCACAAATCGAGAAGAGTAGTGCTTGTTTTTCACATTTCACACATGAGAATATCTCTGTGAATCTTGAGGCCTTGTGTGTTCAAGGAAAAGCGCGCTCCTGCTTGCAGTTTCAAAAACGATGCAGCTGACAAGTTAGGTTTTGGACAATTGTTTTCACATTTTTTGATTTATTACTGTATTATGTTGTTTTTGCATTTGTTGGTTTTATTTTTCTTCTTGTTTTTGGTTTTTCATCCTGTGCTGGCTTGGCGCTCCCAAAAACTATCCATTGCCATTGTTGCAAAACATGTTTTTTTCTTGTTTGGGTATGTCTGAAAATGAGGTGACCTTTTTTCCCTTCAACGTAACCATTTTGGGGTCAAAAAAGGACACTTCATGTTGAAACATACCCATTTGCTCATATTGTTTTGGACATGTGTTTTTGTTGCTTCCATGCTGTGTTGGCTTGCCCCATCTAAAACCGACTGAAATTTACAGATTCACTTTAGCACAAAAAATCACTTCAGACCCGCATATATCAAAAGAAAGCGACATACATCACTCACAAAACAATGAAGAAACATTTGAAAAACTATTTGCCAAAAAACATGTAATTCAAAAATTCCAAAGGAAACAAATATGGAAAAAGACTGCGTCTTTAGTTTAAACTGTTGAAAATATAGTTTGGTGAAAGAAAAACAAAGTCTCAAACAAGACAGTTTTTAGGTTATTCGGCTAAATAAACTATTTAGGCAAACAGGCAAACAACCTAAAAGACAGAACATGAAATAACCTAATAGCTAGAATTTAACCTTAAACACGAAAATAACCTAATAGGCAGGAATTAGCCTAACCAGAGCTTTTAGGTTCGTTCATTCGTTCATTCGTTCATTCGTTCATTCGTTCATTCGTTCATTCGTTCATTCGTTCATTGGTTCACTCATCCATTCATTCATTCATTCATTCATTCATTTATTCATTCATTCATTGATTTCGTCATTGATTGATTCATTGATTCATTGATTCATTCATTGTTTCTTTTATTCATTGTTTCTTTTATTCATTCGTTCATTCATTCAATTCAATTCAATTCAATTTAATTCAATTCAATTCAATTCAATTCAATTCATTGCATTCATTCATTCATGCATTCATTCATTCATTCATTCATTCAGTCATTCATTCATTCATTCATTCACTCATTCATTCATTTGTTCATTTCATTTCATTTCATTTCATTTCAATTCACTTCTTTTGAGATCACCAACAACCCCTATAAAGGAAACAATCCGACAGGAGAGTGACCTAAGTTGTGCAGCTGCAGTGAATTTCATGAACGACCGAGCTCTTGGATCAAGTTCAATGTGAACGTGAAATGGAACAATACATGTATCAGATTTCATGCCTTGTTGTTTGGTCACTTTTTACTGGTAGGGGGTTTTCGTGCCATGGCTTCATTTGCAGATGGCTTCCTTGAGCCCTGCCAGTTCTCTGCACCGATGACCCCAGGTGATGCGCAGCTCAGTGACTCTGCAAAGCAGCCAGCGCTCTTTTCAACTGGTGAGTCAGGCTTGTCAGCTGTTTATGCAGATGTTGATGTACCAGCAGACCTGATAGGCTCACCAAGCAGTCATGATGCTGTCATAGACCAACATCAAGATGCCGATGATGAAGCTGCACCTGGGGATCTTAAAGATTTCAGGAAACGGTGGTCAAAGAGAAGAAAAGTGACCGAGGAGACCGAGTATAGTCCCTCTTTATTGCAAGAACAGTTCCCTCCGGAGCCTCCTGTTGAGCGCCTTTTGAAGACCAGTTCAAGGAATGATGACTCTGCATCGCTAGTCAATGCTTTTGTGGATAGGATCACTCCTTCAGCCATTGTGATGCCCTGGGAGAGTGCTTTCATGGCGCCAATTTTTGGAAGTCAGTTCTGTGAATCAAAACTCTCCATGCCGGCACAATGGAGTGAGACATTTGCGGGCCCGCTCAAACATGCGATGCCAGAAGCAACACCAGATGCTGTAGCACCGGTTGACTTCAGTGTGTTGAGGTGCATCAGGAACCTGGCCGACATGGACTTCATTCAAGCACGTGAGAAGAAGTTGGCCAATGCGCTGGTGAAGATCAAGTGTGTTCTTGAAATCAACTGGGATGCCAGCGGTGTGGGCCGTCAGTGCTTAGACAGCTCCGGGGCACCGCGTCCTGACATGGAAGACACTCTGACCTCAGTCATTGGCACAAGGTCACCATCAACGATTGTCAAGAGGTGCAATGCCGTGTTGGCCTACCACAGGTGGCTTGCAACATGGGCAGATGTTACAGCTATCCCTTTCTCTGAGCCACTTGTGTGGGATTATCTGGGGAAATGTGGTGCCGCCGCAACAAAAGCGATGTCGTTCATCCAGACACTCAGGTTTTGCCAGCACGTCTTGCAGGTGGATGGAGCTGACCAATGTGCTGCCAGCCGACGGTTAGTAGGTCAGTCTGAGCTCCAAGCAGCGTTGAAAGGGCCTACAAAGCAAGCACGGCCACTGACAGTGATGGAAGTCAGGAAGCTGCAGAAGTTCATGGCTGACCCATCCAAGGAATTGCAAGAGAGGTTAATCTGCAGTCACCTGGTCCTCATGATTTACACTCGAAGCCGCAACAGTGATCTGGCATACGTGGAAGGTATATCTCTCATGACAATGCAGTGCGAGAGGGCCGAGACGAGTTCAGTGGGTTCATCCAATTTACAACTCGATACCACAAATCTGCGTCGAGACCAAGTCCTTGCTCATGCCCATCATTGCTTGTGGTGAGTCAGTCGGGCCTGAACCATGGCTGGACTTGTGGATGTCCTTGCGGAAGAAAGCTGGCCTGCCGACATCAGGTCGCCTCGAAGGTGCTGTCATGCCGGCTCCAGATTTAGCCCGGCTAGGGCAATGGCTGGTGCGGCCAATCTCCTGCGCCGAAACCACCAAGCTGCTTCGGGCCTATCTGCAGTGTGATGACGCTGACTTGAAGTCCCACTCTTTGAAGCGCACAGCCCTTAGTTGGGCGGCCAAGGCTGGTGTGGACCGAGAGCAACGCAGATTACTCGGTCGCCACGCTAGTGCAGTGGAGGGCTCAGACAGCATTTATGCAACAGACCTCATGGTCGACCCGGTGCGCGCTCTGGGCGCTGTCGTGAAGCTCATTCGAAATGATCAGTTTCTTCCTGATGGTGACAGAGCTGAATTCTTTCCTCAGGGAAATCCTGCCGATCCAACTGCACCGGTCTTCCAACCGAAGACACCAGGCACCTTCAAGATGCCAATGACTCCCGCGCCGCCGAAGGAGTCAGTCAAGGCGCCAGAGGTGCCGGGCCTGGATGTGAAGGAGGAGCCACCAGCCATCAAGGGTGCAGCTCAAGTGATTGAAGAGATTGACTTGGTGACCTCTGACTCAGAGACATCGACAAGCGGTGATGACTTCGTGGAGTCCGAATTAGAGGATGAGCAAGAGCTTGAGCCTGCAAGCCGCGACGTCCTGAATGAGGATTACAACGATGCCTGGGTCCAGCACAAAAAGACCAAGACCATCCATGCCATCAAGGACATGGGAAACCAAGTGTCCGACTCAGTCTACGCCAATGGTGAAATCATTCAGAACAAGGCCACGAAGTGTGGCAGACTCACCAGCTCCAACTTCACGGTCGTCAAGGAGATTGCAGACTGGACATCAAAGTGTCGTCTGTGCTTCAAGGGTAACAGAGACCCTTACGCCTTTCGTTGACCTGGACGCGGTGTCAAAAAAGGTTCAGTTGGAGCAGTTGGCAAGTGTCAGTTGCAGTGAATTACATGTGTAATCGTCTTCACCTTGTTCTGCAAATTGATGTCAGTTGTTCATCAAACGCAGTCATGTGACAGCGGTGTCCTATGTTGGACAACCTGCCTATGTTGGCAGGGTTACAGCCACCTATGTTGGTGAGCTAGGACTCATGTGAGTTCAGTATCCATGCATGTGCATGGAAGGCTGATATGTTTCAGCAGTGTCATGTGACACCGGCTATGTTGCCTGATCATGCAATGTTGCAGCCTTTTATGGCCCGTGAAGCCAGCCTGCATTTGAGCAGGACTGCAGTGTGCACCAGCATCCCAACTTGCACATGTTTGCAGCGTTGCATTGCTTATGAATCTCATGGTGTACTTGTTGTGACTTACTTCACACGTTTTCATATCAGCAACTGTCAGGTGGTGTTCATTCTTGCGTTGTGCTTTGTTTTCATTTTTAGTGCCTTTGCCACCTGCAGCCATGACATCCATCGTGGCGTCTGAAGCTCATTTCAGGAAACGTTGTCAGGAGACAGGCCTGTCTGACCGTGGCCTTGCCGCCGTGATAGCGTCAGGGTATTCCAACCTTGGACAGTTAGCGTTTGCCAGTGGCCAACCAGGCCAACCGTTGAATGAGGCTGATTTTCAACGCTTTGGCCAGAATGTTTTGGGAGGCCTGGCCACTATGGCCGACATGAGCACATTGAAGAGGTTGGTATTCGAAGGGCAGACGATGCTGCTAGCCCAATTGCGAGATCAGGTGGTGAACCCTGATGCTGCCAGCACTCGCAAGCTTCCAGCAGTGGAGAGGAGCACCAAAATGCAGAACTTGAAAGCACGCCTGGCCGGAGTAGTCATTGAGAAGGCGCTGGAACCAAGCTACGCCCTCCTGGATGCAGTAGCTCAGCAATGGGAGTCAAAGCAGTTGGCATATCTCTCCCCTGAGAAATGTACGTCCAGAGAATGGGAGATCACAATGTCGAAGACGGCCAAGCAGCTATCCATCGACACTGACAAGCTGCTGGTGAAGAGCGAGCAGTCGGTGCCTGACCAGCAGGTATCAACTGAGATGCAGGTCTATGAAGCACTCAGACGTCGTGGCATAGCCCTGGCTTTCACGGACTCCCTGTCTTGGGAGGTCCATGAGAGGTACCTTCAAAGGCTCTTTCAACACCTTAGAAATGACGCACCAGAAGGTTATACAAAGACCACGCTTTAGCAGGCCCTGCGTGCAGATCGTGAAGTTTTTATGCACATGATCCAGCGGGATGTGTCGATGAGGAGGTTGCCAGACAATACACTGGCCATGGATACAGCCATACTTGAAGCAGTGGCATCATATGAAGTTGGCTTCCACCTCATGCCGCTGCCCAAGAAGGTTGAGAAGGCAGAACCGAAGCAACAGCCTGCTTCATCATATGGAGGATGGCAGTATGGGCGGCGCAATCAACAACAACCCTATGGGAAAGGACCAGGGAAGGCCAAAGGTAAAGGCAAGAGCAAGCGAGCTGCCGGCATGGTCCCCAAGGAGCTCCAGGGCCGAGACAATGTGTCCATGGACACACATGGCAGGAGGTTGTGCTTCGAGTTCAACATGGGGCGTTGCACAAAGGTCCCCAATGGTGGTGAATGTGACCGCGGCTTCCATTTATGCATGCGGCGAGGGTGTCATGCGCCACATCCTGAATCAGAACACCCTGCCAAAGACAAGGGCACCAGCAAAACCACCGCTTGACTATATGAGCGGATTCAGAGGGCTGCCGCCCGTGGTGCCTCACTGGCCGATTGCCTGGTCATTGAGGTGTTTTCAGGAAGCAGCCGGGTTACGGCATGCCTACGCCAAAGCTATAGCTTTGGAGTGGACTACAAAAGACACAAGGGTGCCGCTGGTCCAGTCATAGTTGCAGACCTGTGCACGCCTGAAGGCGTTGCGCTGCTATGGTCGTGGCTGCAGAACGAACAAGTTCTTGCAGTGTTTTTAGCACCGCCTTGTGGTTCCGCCTCCAGAGCGAGACAGATACCGCTGAAGCGAAAACATTTCGGTCATCCAGCCCGGAGACATCATGGGCCCCGACCACTGCGAGATGATGCAAACCCCAATGGATTACCTGATCTATCTGATACAGATAAGCAGAGGGTTTCTTTGGCCTTTATTTTCTGACTGCACAGATTGTTCAGTGGGCCGTTGAAAACGGAGTCATTGTATGTGTGGAAAACCCGCAGTTCAGCCTTTTTTGGGCCACGACCTTTTGGCAACAGGTTGCACATCTTTTGGAATATTCTGTTTTTCATTCATGCCAATATGGAAGTTTACGTCAGAAGAAAACGATGGTTGCGTTCAACATTGATGAATTCCATGCAATCAATGCCACCTGCAAAGGGCAGAATAGCAAACACAAGCATGCTGCGTGGGGTTACAACCGCAAAACCAAGTCATTTGCTACCGCAGAAGAAACAGCATACCCCATGGGGCTTTCAAAGATGATTGCAATGGTCATTGTGCGTTGCTTGATCCGATTAGGCATTCAAGCCAATCCTGATACATTGGAGGCAATCCAACCTGTGTCCCTCCAAGCGTTACAAAAGATGAGAGCAGCGGCAGGAACCCAGTCGAGATCTAGCAAGATCCCAGCGCTGGTACCGACATACCAGACGCGCTTTCGACTGGCTGGATGTGAAGATGACCTTCCGCATGCACATCTTTTTCAACGGCTGCGTGATGATGTCACCATTGCCTCCAATCCACTGCAAGTTCTACCCAAAGGATCCAAACTCCTTGCAATTACCCCGGCTGACAGCCTTGCCACGGGGGATGATGAGATTTCGCAGCCGGAGGTATTCAAGCTCAGTGCACCTGATACAGATGATGTGCCCCAACTTCTGCAAACATGGGGCATTCCTTGGAAACCAGAACAGTTTGTTGATCAGGTGGTAAAAGCTGGACACCCAATGGACATGGCAACCTTTTTACCTGCGAGACTGAAAGCGCTGTTGGAGACCTACAAATACAAAGACTGCGACAAGAGGAACAGCGATAGGTTGTCAGCAATGAAGTTTTGGTTGACGCGTGCTCTGGACCTCAAGCAATCAGAGCGCCAGCTGCATGAGAGTCTCCACCCTAGCGTTGCGCAGGTGCTGAATGGGAAGCGCATCTTGCTTTGGCGACAGATGCTTGAGTCGATTGAGTACGAAGACATGGGCGTTGTGGAGGAGTTTTCAACTGGAACCCCTCTGACTGGAGAGTCGCAGGTGACAGGGCTCTGGCCCAAGAAGTTCAGGCCGGCATCCTTGACGACGGCTGACTTGGAAAAGGTGGCCTCAGCGCAAAGGCCGCTACTTACGTATCAATCTTTTGAGTTCATGGACGCCGACACCCTCACAGCAGTTTGGCAACAGACCCAAGATGAAGCAGCTGCAGGTGAACTCGAGGGACCTTTTGACCTCGAGGACGTGCCTCTTACGTTCCCTCTAAGCAAGAGGTTCGGCATCAAGCAATCCTCGAAGATCCGATGTGTGGATGACTTCACACAATCATCCATCAATGCCTGTGCACAGACTTGCGAGTCACCGAAGCCCCACACAGTGGATATCCTGTGCAGCATGTGCCTGGGCCTCATGGGCATATCAGAAGATGGGACCGCTTGGCAGGCCCGTAGCTTTGATCTGAAACGGGCGTACACGCAGTGTGCGATACGTCCTGACCACGCTTGCCACAGTTTCATTGCAGTAGCAAATCCAGAAGCCCAGCAGGTGAAATGCTTCAAGATGCGTGCGTTACCATTTGGCAGTGTAATGTCTGTACATTCATTTTTGCGTGTGGCACACAGTCTGTGGGCGATCCTTGTGACAATTTTCAATGTCTACATTTCAAATTATTTCGACGATTTTGTGGTGCTGGCTGCGGTGCCGGAAACCCAGACTGTTACAGCAGCGGTAAGCGTGGCTTTCAAGGTGCTTGGTTGGGTATTTGCTGAAACAGGTGATAAGGCACCGCCTTTTGCTTCATTGGTGACAGCCTTGGGCGTCACAATCGACGTTTCATCATTGCATTGCGGCATGGTGACCATAGACAACACGCCGAACCGTAAGATGGAGATCTCAGCGATGCTGCAACAGGTGCTTGAACAAGGGACACTTCCTCGCCAGGAAGCACTCAAGCTTCGGGGAAGGCTGCAATTTGTAGCTGGCCAGATTTTTGGCCGGGTGGCAAAGAGGTGTCTTGCCATTGTTACGCAGCATGCGTATGGTGAGCATGGGCCAACGATATCAGATGAAACCCGGCAAGCACTTCAACTCTTCCATCAGCTCATCAACATGGATGTGCCTCGCACCTTATCATTGACGAATGCTGCAACATGGTTCATTTTCACGGACGCTTCATATGAACCCCAACAGATGTCAGCGGTGGCAGGCATTGGTGCTGTGCTTGTGGATCAATTGGGAAATCGATGTGGATTTATTTCATTGTTTTTGGACGGAGACATGCTTGAGCGATTGAATGCAACAAACAGGAAGACGATAATTTTTGAATGTGAACTTTTTGCAATTTTCATTTCAATGTATTGCTGGATGGAGCGACTTTGCAACTCACAGGTCGTTGTGTGCACAGACAACGATGGTGTGAAAGATGTTTTGATTGCGTGCCAGACCTCAAGCGCAAATGCCAGTCCAATCCTTTGCGCGATATTGCAACTTGAGTTTGACTTGAGGTGGAACGCATGGTTCAGCAGAGTTCCAACAGAATCAAACATAGCTGACGATCCATCCAGGGGACAGATACAGAAATTCCTTGACAAAGCAATCCCTCAGTACGAGGTGGACATGGACAAACTATGGACAACCTTGCTGGAACTTTCTACAAGGGGAGGCTTTGACCAGCAACGTGTTGCCCCTGCAGAAAAAGGACTGAGTGCGAGGTCAGCTGCAAGAACTTAAGGAAACAATCCGACAGGAGAGTGACCT